GAGTGAGTTAGAAGCTTGATGTAATTTATTCTGTCATGTTGATAGTCTAATTACTTGAGTGGGAAAACCTCAAGGAAGAAGACAAAGATCACCAGATAAGGATCAGCTATATTGCAGATGAATCCATGGAAGAAGGAGCGCTGCGGCTCAGTTGACTACATCAGAGAGAAAGTCAAATCTCAGTGAAATATTACACAAGGCGGAATCGTTCGTTAGGACCTGACCGTCCTAACGCTTACGAGGAAACAGTTGCAAACAGTGCTTGGCAATGCAACCAGCACATCTGACCAATATATCTGAATAAGACGTCATTAACCTGGTTGGCCTAGCGTCTTTTCCGGACCTCCTCAGACCAGCTAATCACACAACGGCAGATCAAATTTGGCTAGGCTATCGGGCTGGTACGTTCCAGTTCGCTCACCACTGCAATCGATTAACGCCGAGCTCTTCATAATTTCCATCCATATACAAATTACTACGTTGGCCGCATCCGCGGTGGTGTAGACATTTTCCGTCATCTTATCATCTTGAGAAGCTATTCGACGAAGCCTGGACCAGATGATAATGACTGGGTAGACGATGGAGGGCGTATATATTACATATCCCGACCACCTTAACCTGAGAAACTTTGCCTTTTCTGGTCCTTCATACACTGCGCACTTACGGACTTGCTGCATACAGCTAACACCTGCTGTGTCAAGACAAGACAGGCCTCAGATGTCTTGCAAACACGGTGAATTGCGTTGTTGGTGCACGTTTACGGGTGTTTACCGCAGCTTGATAAGTCCGGTGATTTGTTCCCACAGTACAATATCGGACAGCGCAACTGCCAAGTTAAATGAACTGTCACTGTCGTCTTTATACTCCACGTTCGCGAATTCTTCCTTCATGAAGATACTGGATTATACCATGTTGTGACATTTTGTACATCTTGGCCCATTGAGATGTATCGGAGGTCATCCGTGTGACATTCGCAGTCTGACATTAGGTTGGCCAATGGACAGATTTTAGCCTGTCACAGTCTTCTGGCCCTCCATGTTGTTGTGACACGTGTCTTGGGATAGATTAGTGGTTAAGACGGAAACTTACCGACAAAAAGTTTCGTGGTCTGGATCCAACCATGGCAAGACTGGACTGGCAAGACTGAATTCGTCAATTATGCTGTCGGAAATTTAATGCACAACACAAACAAGTGTTTTAACAGCATGAAGGAACATTTTGGACGACAGTTTGGTTGGCCGTCTGTTTCCTTTTCATGTCTTTCATGCGGTTGGTTCATATCGAGCTTGGGTCTGCGAGTTTGAACCCCGTCTCAGTTTGTCAAACATCCGTATACCGCTTTGGATTGAAGCGCCCTCGGAGCACAGGACCTAATGGGTTTCCACCAGCATTATTCTTCCTAGTTTATTTTGACCGATTTTTCGACGTTAGTTTGGGAAATAATGTTTTCAAAAAAACCTGGGACCAGTCAGTCACAATCTCTTTATCCAAGAGAGGTACCCGAAGCAATTCAGTGCAAGTCTCACTTCATTTGGAAGATAGCTTCTATCCTCACTGATGTTGCGGTGGCTGTCAATATCTCGCAAGACGCAGTTTCGAGAACAACAGCGGCGATTTTGACCCGTCAAAAAGTGGGTTGGACACATAAATCAGTACCAGAGTACCGCTGACCAGCTGTGGCAGTTTCCCTCGACTTTCAAGTAGCCCACGGTTACGTGAATAGATCACTCCTTCTGCATACACTTGACTAATGGAGAATTCCCTCGAAATTCGTTGATAGGCTTCCTGTCACTCACCTTCCATGGTTCCGGTAGGATTCACAATAAGCCATCCAAAAATTTCCACACTACTAGCGGAGTCCCACAGGGATGTCCCTTTCCTCCCTTTTTTTCAATGCTGTCGTTGACACCAGCATGGAATTTACTCTCCAAGGGACTGTGGTTCGCTCTGCCGTAGCAATCTTCCTCTGCTTAACTGTTACGCCGCCCGAAGGAACCATGAAGGTAGAGATATTGCCCTAGACAGGAGAGGTCGATATTTGAAAGTTCGAACCACGGACCTTCTGGTCTGTGAGTCCGCGCTTTAACCGCTGAGGTATGTCGAGCTCGATTCCGGATGTCAAAGTTGCATCTGAAGTAAGGTCGCCAGACTTAGGTAATGTGGATGATACTGGTCTGTTATTTGACGATCGTGCGTCCGCACAAACTGTTCTAAATGGAATGATGGAAGTCACACCCTGTTTAGGCGTACAGTTTGCATTGCCTAATTACTGCTTCTAATGCCTAGATGTACTAGTCTAGTACTAGTCGTTCAGCTGTAACAACCTTTTGGTGTCTAGCTGCCATGCCATCCGGGGAAGCACGAGGACTGAGATACTGCCAGGTTGCCCAAGTCGAGAGGCACAGGTCGGGTTCAAACCACGGGCCTTCCGGTCAGTAAATTGACGTCCTTAACCACATGAACCATCTCGCCCCTGGATACCCAACTCTATCACGGGTAATTGAAACCGGAGCATCTATGACCACGGTACAGCATGCACGCGGTTCACAGCAGAAGGAGGATCAGTACTCGTTTGGATCTTCAGATTGGGAAGCTTGAATTTGTTGACGGGTTTATGTTGACATCTGCATAAGCGATGACTGCACTGTTTATGTATGAAGTGAGTGCATAAATCATCGGAACATGGCTGCCTTCTGCTAACGTCCGTCCTCCTGGTGGCATGACAGCTAGGCACCGAAAGGGTTTTATAGCTGAACGATTTTTGTAACTGTAAAACTTCCCTCTTCTGTGTAAGGATTCAGAACTTTTCTGAGTGTTTGGTAACTAATGTGTCTGTAAAATAGAGGGCTTTAACTGGATGCAACACATGTAATTGGGTGCTCTCAGGTTGTCCAGAGCTGCACACACCTCAGAGACATTCCGTCCTCGGTCAAGTGTTTATGGAACTGATCCATTCACAGCGTCGAATATTTTCTTAAATTGAGGAGAACTGCTGTGTTTGCTAAATCACTTGTAGTGTCAATATGTAATCATCATCACTGACAGCATCACTAGACAAGAGCCCGAGGTTAAGACGTGAACTTTCTGAACGAAATATAAGTGATTAGAACCCAACCTCAGTATGTGGAGGGTCACGTGAACCTTATCCTGGAAAGCGAGCAGCACACAAAATTCGTGACATCCTTCGTTAGCTTTCGCCGCATCATATTCTGTCCACTTATAGAATTCTGCCATTCCAGATGAAGCACAGAAGGCATCACTCGTCTCGGCAGGCGATAACTTGGTATGCGTAACACATGGCTCAGCCAACTTAGCTTGCACTCCTGGTCACATTCTTTGAATGATGTACCGTCTGCCTAAGCGAAGGCTCGTTTCTCGATCACCTCATTGCGAATTTGCTAGTTCCAGCCATTTCGAACCTCGGGACATCAGTGGTCAAAGACCTGAGTATGTCTGATCTCATGCCCGAGGTGACCAAGCCTCGCAGCCGTGCATCAATACAGCCTGCACTATAGTCTGATGTACGTTTGAGAACAAATGGGATACCTTCTTGATGACACAAGTGGATAAATTTCGCAACACTCGTCTTTGGCCATGGAAATCCGGGTGTTGATTTCATCCGCCACACTACCGAAATACGCATAGCGTTCTACAATTTCCCTTGTAAGACCTTGAATCCTTAGAGCCATTTTCAAAGACCACGTCCCACGACATGATTTTGCACCGTACGGGTGTGAAACACATACCCTAGCTTTTCTAGCACTGTTTGTGCCTCCTGCTCTTTTTCAAAAGTGAGAATAATATCCTCTTCATATTCCAGATCCAGAAGGTTCTCTCCCGGAGAGATCTAAATATCAGGATTTTGGGGACTCGAGTGTTTGATTCATTTAACGAAAGCAAGCAAAAAAAGAGATAGTGGGCACCTTTGTCGGAAACCACTGCTTACAGGAAGGCTCGCAATGCACTCTCATGCACCCAGAAGTATTTGGGTACAAACAGCTCATGATATTTACGAACCTTTGGAGCGTACCCTGTTTCGCAATCGTGGTGAACAGAACTAGTCTGTCTAGAGAATCAAACGCCCTCTTGGAACCAAAGAACACCAAGATTATGGGGCGCCTATGCTCCTGCCGTTTCTCGGACCTTGACCAGATTCCGTGCTGTTTCGTGTCCTCGCTTCACACGCCTTCGCAAGACGACATAAAGTAAACGACGCAGAATCTGGTTACAACCTGAGTTAGGCTAATTCCTCGGTGATCATCTCACGATGCGAGCTTTGTTTTTGAAAATAGGCACCACTATCCACTCACCCGAATTAGTTGAAACGACCTCTTCCAGATGGAGGGAAATAAATCAGGTGACCACCGACTGCGATTTAAATTCCTCTTAATTCAGTCAGTTTTGCGCATCCTTTCCCGAGGTTTGACCTCGCGGTCCTGTCTTAACCAAAAGATGTGATATGACCATGGTATGGCCAATGTTCCTTTGAATGGGGTGTTCACTTCGATGATTTGTATAACAATGGTGTAACGAGTTAGGTTTGAAGATATCCCCAGGCGGGTTTCATGAGTAGAAGGTAGAAAACACCTGAAAATTGTCCTACAAATCAAGTAATTGTATTGGAATGGGAAAGTAGGCAAGTGGTAACGTCATATATGACCTTTGAGTAACACAGTTTCACTTCCCACTGCTTACGTTTTGATTCGGGTGTCGGTCATTCAACTGAGCAAAACACGGAAACATTTGTTACGCAGAAGTTATCTGTAACCAAAACGGATTCATTTTTTTATATTAACCTTGGTGGGATCCGTTGACCAACCTTCTATGCACTCGTTCTCATGAAACTTACGAGGGTTTCTACCTGAATATCAACTTCCAACCTACCGTTGTACGTTAGGCCAAATTTTCCATAAGGTAGTTCTCCGTATATTTTTGTTGTGCGTTTCTTGAGTTTTAGTGGGATTGCTTTTTAACCCTTTTCTGATCCATCGTTTGTAGCTCTTGCGGTTCTCAAGATGCCGAAGAAAGGGAAATCTCGCAGGTCAGAACAGGTTATGGAAATTTCGGGCCCTACCAATGTGAAGAAACACATGCACGTTACGTTTGACAAACAGACAGGAACTTTTTTTGGGCTAACGGAGGAGTTCAAAAAGATGATTGATAGCATGGGAATAACGGTGGAATATAAGGCACAAAATGCTGATAGGATCATCAATGCCTTGAATGTCTACGAAGAGTCACAGAAACCCAAATTTATGGGGCTTTATCCGGAAATGGGTGAATTTGATGAAGGTAAGTGACTCTCAGTTTTCTCGTCAGTTTACTTTAAAGAGGATGATAAATCGGGTGGATTGACACCAACCGGAAGCCGACAGCCCTCAAAGTCTCCTCCTCGAAGCCCATTTCAAGAACGCGAAGTGGTGGTGGGACCTAAAATAACTGGCGTGATTGGTCAGATGACAAATGAAATGAAAGGTGTTGCTTTGGCACCCGCCATGGCTAAACCGTCCCTGCCAAATAATGAACTCAGTGTTCCCAAGAAAGTACCGACAGCCAAAGTAAGTCAATGACTTACTATAAGTGCTCGCAGAAAGATTGATGTCGCTAACCGAGAGACATTAACCGCCCTCCTAATCTGTGTGATTTCAGCCCAACGGGCCAGTTCTGCGCAAGCGTCCACGAAAAATGACCGATGGCGAGTTCTTCACTGCTCTGGGTGAGTGGTTTGTGTAGCTCACTGTGATCCTTAGCTGTGGTCGCTGTTATAGCTTTAGCCACACTGATTGTCATTTTTTCGTTTGCATGTTTACTCGACATTTTCTGAAGGGTGAGCTCAAGTTAATATAGTGCTAATGAAAAGGAACGCTTTCGATCGACAAGTCCTCTCTGTCCGAACACACTCGTTTTCCGTTTGTGAGTCTCCGACAGGTAAAGTCATTTTTTGACACCTGCCTTTGGGCTCAGAAACTGATCTTGACAATGAGGATTCTCACATCCTTGTCTGTAATCATGTTTTCCCTCTCTGGTGCATATGTCGTCGCACTTTCAGGCGTAGCCATTTCAGTGCCAATCCAGAGCTCCAGCCGTAACACGGTAACCTCAAGCTTTAGACTCCGGAAAGAATACCTACAATTAACTCCGCTCTGTCCACGAACCTATAGGCGGTCGGTTTTCACCTATCTGAAACAAATTTCCCAATATTTCTGACTGTAGGCAATGGCAGATACACATTTGTTTGGCTTCCCTAGATAAAAGGTTATTGCTGTGGCGTCTTCCACCAAGGCTGGTCGGTAACAAAACAGAATCATATTGCCATTTAAAAAATCGTTCAGCTGTAGCACCCTTCCGGCGTCTAAACGATGGCTTCCCAATCGATCCCAAATATTTTCGAATGCTGTCCACCTATTGTTTTGTCAATGAGACTTGATAGGTGCATAGAAAATACAGGCACCGGTGCCCTATCAGATCATTCTGAGCGACTGATTGTCCCTCGAACCTTCGAAAACATATAGACTTCACCAGAAGGGCTATCAATACTGTCATTCCAAGTTTCGTCACTATTTGGGAAAGCAACAATCAGACTGAACGAAACTATCTGGAACTTATACTATTTTCGGAATGGGATTTCAAACTGTAGTCATTATCCTTGTTATGATCGATACCCTTCCAATTTCGGGAGCGTCATGTGTAACTAACATGGCATGGTGTTCATTATGCTCTGTTCATTTATCGGAATAGTGTAACTCGTAACCAGACAATCCGATTCCCGAATTTCGTCACTATCTATCTCACTTCGTGGATCAAATGCCATAGCATTCCTTCAAGGCGATCACTGGCGGAACCAGTCCCTCTGACCGAGTACACAAACGGAGCGTTGCATGGCATTTCGCGGTTGAATAAGCTATATCGATCACGCTGGGTTTGAAGCAGAAACAGTGTAGTCGGTGAGTATGGATAAATTACCTACAATGGTTGTTGACAACCCATTCATACAGTGTCAAAACAGGAGTTAGGCGCTACCGGTTGAATTGACCACCGTGGCTTGGTGGTCCTCGTTAGTGAATCTTACCATAGTGCTTTACTTTTGTGTTGCGATACTTCATTTATGACGAATAGAGTTAGTGCAATCGTTGTGAAGGCACGCACAACGTTCGCCAAATGCGTTTAGCTGAAACTCAAGGAGCCGGTCTGCGAAACAGCTGTGAGGGAAAATTTCTCGCCGGTGAGATTTCGTAGGATCGTTCCGTCATCTTCAAATCACCCTCAGAGACAGCAACATCAATGATTCGTTGATGCTTCACTGCCGTACAACTACGCAGTCTATCTAATTATTGTTAAGTCCTTAGGTTGAAGAGAGGAAAACAGAATGGGTAGGAAGGGGACCTTATGCTGGTCTATCGCAAGCATTCCGAGGTTCCTTCACCACTGCGAGTTCAATCGGACAATCCGGAAAAAACTGACAGCACGGATGCCACTGACGTCGATCCCTCGCCATTTCTGGCAATGTTTACAGTCAAGCGCAGTAGAGGCCATGCTTTTCTTCGAGAAGCGGGTTCTGGATATGTTTTATACTACATCGGAAACCCGACAGGACAAAAGCGAGGTTGTGGCGTTGGTTTTGTCCTGTCCGACCGCACTAAGAATACATGCGTCTCTTGAATGGTACGGGCCACCAAATGCCCCTGGCGTGCAATATGGGGCTCAGCTGTTTAGTTGTACCCACTTAAGCTAACAATCATAGGTTACCAGTTGGACATCCTAATAGCTGTTGAACTGCCCCCCTCCGGTCTTACAGCCTCTGATTTACACCGGGCACAGGGCCTCCAGGTGGATTTACCTGCTGCTCAGTGCAAAGCGTATGTGGTGGATGTGCACGGGTGCCCTTCGACGTAGTTCGATGTGACTGGCCAATCCGATGCCAGCACAGCACAATGTGTTGCATTTACGAAAAACTTATTTCAAACAATAGCTGTTCGTGCGTAGCTTTTGAATGCCTACACGTAACTGTGAGCCGATGTTTTGTCAACATACAACGTTTTCGTTTGCCTTCCAGGCGTTCGACTTCAGCTGCACTTCTAGTAAATGGACTTTGATTCATTCCGATTGGCTGCTTGTCAGCATTTGCCTACGTATACTAAAATTTTCAGTGTTATAAGGAACTGGGATATTCACTGACAATGCTAATCAATATGCGTCTGAACATAGTTATTTGTAGGCGAATTTCTGAAAGTAAACGTACTGTTCGCATGAACACGCGTACCAACACCACTCGTGCATTTGTGATTCACGTAATGCAACGTTTTTTTACAGTAGTCCTTGTGGGTCTTGTTTGATTACTTTCCCCATTGCAGTCCAGCTTCCATCTGATTCGCCTGGGTATACGATTGCGACACCCCGCAAGGATTTCCCAATCTTCCGTTTGGCCAGATTATCTCACCGCTTTATGTAGCCTTTGTAGCTGTAGTGCGATACGCGCATAACTCTCATGAACCTTATTGCCCCCCAAGCGTACCAAATATAGTCTTAGTTTAAAATTCCGCCATCACAGCTTTGTCCTGGGTTCTTATGCCCGATAATCTTTGCTATTTTTTCTCTTGTAGATCGGTTTATCACTCCTGGGGACCCTCACAACTGCTATAATCTCCTAGAAAAACTTGGATCCGGGTGAGTCTGCTTGCCTTACTGGTTAGTGCTAGTATGTCTACCTCAAGATTGCCAGCAGTTCATCCGAATTCTCTCCTAGAAAGTCATGCGTTTCGTGTCTAACGCGGGAGCGATTTGCCGCTGATAAGCTGAGGGAAACGTGGGTAGTACAGTACTGACCGTTTCCCAATTAAGTTTGCTTTTTGTTCGGTTTTTACTGTATCATGATGGATAGCGGCTGTCTCATGAGGGGGTATCGAGATCCCCACTATGTTTGGAGTATTTACTGTCCGTGAACGAATGTTGGCAGCCAAGTCGTCGATGTAGGGTCGTCGAATAAGACTCAGGTATGTAGCCATGCGATGGTACGCAATCGCGCGCAACAATTCACTCCCATGCGATAGACTAATCACTCACTCGTCCCGATATCAACCACCTCGCCTTTGGGCTGTTGATCGTTTGGTTAGTGATTTATAATTCGGCTGTACTTGCAGCCAGGAAATTACACACGAAAGTAGGACTCAGCAACACGTGCTCTGCTCATCCGTCGGGGTAGCACAACAAGAGCGTTGACCGGTTCCGGATTCATTGCCAAATTTCGTTAAAGAGCCTACAGGTAGTGATCCCTTCAAGGGTTTGCGTTAGGGACCAGTGTTTAAACGTTTAAAAATCTGCGAAGCTCGTGCGCTCGTGGGGTTCGGATTCCCCGAAGGGTGTGTTAGCATGCGTCGGATTGACGAACTGGAAGTGTTTTTCGAGACTGATTTCTCGCCTTATTGGTGAATATCCCATCATCCTCAGGTAGTTTTTCTGGATTGGTTTTCGTGAACTTTAGTCTCTTCCGCATGGCCACCCTAGGGTCCGCATATATAAGGACAATGGCATTAGATGACACCGTTGGCATAAAGTGATGCAGTATGTGCGTAGCATTTTTCCGGTTCGTGAGTACCTTCAATTACTTCTTTGTCATGTTGAGTAGCAGGGCGAAAGATTAGTTTACCTTTGAAGCACGTAGTATCACAACTTAGTGAGCAAGATTTTAAGATGGTTTGTTATTCGGAGAGTGTGCTGAACAATAACCATTCAGCAACTCGAACGAAAACAGATTTAACTTTGCTGACCTTGTAGTTTTTTGGTCAGCAGTCTGGCTCACGGGAACACTCGTGCAGCAATGCGATGCCAATAAATTTGCGTCTTTCAGGGTTCGATCTGGTGTATCCAATTGAATTTGTGCTATGCAGCGAATGGACCAAGTTCTTATACTTCTCGCACCGGTGATTCAGTGTGTGATTCTCCTCCGCTCAAGGGATCACTTTGTTTCATCATGTCGGATAACATGGCATGAATTCAAATGGTGTGTGGTGGCAAAGACCATGTAACATCAGCTACATTTGGCACGTTCCAAACCCCAGGTAGCTGTCTCACCACCTAACGTTATTCACTTGCTGACTAGGCTGTCACCGTGTTTTTGCAGAACACCTGCTATTGTGAACACGTGTAGTCGATAATGCTTCGACTAGCAGTTGGTGGTGTAAGTGGAATACATGGTCAAAATATTCGCATGAAAACAACTTAGGTTGTCAATGGCGTGGTAAAAAAAGTGACATACAGCCATTCAGGAATATTGGTTAGTCCATGAACGCATGCTTAATGGTTTTACGTGTCGGTTTTGATGACATTGCTAATTGGTTTAGTCAGACGGCGACCTCCTCTGCTGTTACTAATCCGTTTGGTCCAAAGGTTTTGGAACGATTTGACAGCAACCGACACATCAAGCTCAACGACCCAACTAGTTCGACCGATTATTTGTATCGGTCAGGTGAGGTGCAGCCGCATTCGTCAAAAGTCTTGCTTATCCGATCCCAGTGTGTGATAGTGTTATATCTGCTGATTCGCCGGCCTGTGGTATCTGCTGCTGACCCGTCCAGTGCCTTAGTGTCGGAGAGAAAAAGACTCACGGAAGGGAACACATTAGCTATATTCCAAAAAAGTGGTTGCGAGAGCGCGAGTGCGTGTGAGTGCGAAAAGTACAACGGCCTCAAGCTTTTTATTGGAAGGACACTGTGTGAACTTGGTCCAATGCTGATGCACGCGGTCTGGCTTTAGCACGAGGCAGCGACGTGCTGCATATTACGGAGGGGTTGTCTGTCCTTGATCAACGCTGACTCGCGCTGTCTGGGTTTGATGCAAGGCTGTGACGCGCTGCATATTGACAGGGCGTTGTCTGTCTGGTCAACACCCAGCGGAGCTGAGGGTCTCCGTATATTCCGGGCATTCAGTGGTTGCTTTCAGGAAGCTGACCTTCCTGATAGATAGAATGTGTCCAGCAATTCTCTGCGATAAGTACCGAGTCGTCGGACCGATGTAGCTTGAGGAACATTGTCAAGCACGCGAAATTGTTATCACACGATGGTCCTGAACTGGAACCTTATTCTTGATTTTTGTGTTGAGCAACCAATCGCTGCTGGAGTTGCCACCTCACCAAGCGACATTATGTACTCCTGGTGGAAGTCATTAGTTTCCACTTCATTACTTCATAGACACTGTCGCTTCGGAATGGTAGTCTGTAGATAAGCATTTTTTCGGACTGAAGGACTTCTGTTTTGTGTTTAAAAGGACCACCTCAATTTTTTATTACAGATTAAATTAAAAATATCAGAGTTTTCGATTTAATGTCACTTCTGCGTCTAGTATATCTTTTGTGCGGGTTTCGCGAGCGCTGTTTGTCTGGCACTTTGCATATTTTTCTCTGTACTTTGTGTCCACAAAGCGGTGGAAATGTGATCGTGTGGATTTTTGGTAAACCCGTACTTGACCTACTAAAATATCAACAGGTTTTGTTGATCTCGTGCTACGCGGAAAAGTGGAATGTCAAATGTGCTAGCCTAAGGGTGTACGGAATCGCCTTAGTTGCACTGTGACAATTGTGAACAATGAAGAAAGTCATCGATACCGCGACGATGAGGTGTTTATTGTTCCGAAACTGATTCCAATGCGACATGTTCGGATTTATTCATGAAAATACCGGCCGGAAGCTCACCGGGAGAATTATTCGTCGCAACCTCTTCCCTCTGTGTAAAGGGTACATCGCAAATCAATTTTTAATTCCTGTGTAAGGATGAGTGAATTGGTACTCCACTGCATGGTAAAATCATCTATACATTCGACAGTTTCGAACAACTTTCATCTAGCGTTAACGTTTGTATTTTGAGCAGCCAGTGAACTCAAATGTGTCACGTAGCCTTTGGACACAACTGTTTCTGCATGGGTACTAACGGTTCTTCCAGGCAGTAAGTAATCAGATGATTCAGTGAGCAACCCTGCTTTAATATCCTTCGTAATCCTTAGAATCGTTGGATAGAGGCAACCCAGACTTTCGGTTTCTGATATTATTTTTGTTCCTGAGGTGTTTTAAGAAATCTGCTATCCATACCTTTGTTTTCCTCATCATATCTTTTTAGTTCATATACACTGGGGCGAGATGGCCCAAGTGGTTAGAGCGCGAATTTACTGACCGGAAGGTCCGTGGTTCGAATCCGACCTCCGCCACTCGACTTCCCCTGTCTAGGCTTGGGCAATCTGGCAGTATCTCAGCCCTCGTGCTTCCTTCGGGTAGCATGACAGCTAGGCACCGGAAGGGTGCTACAGCTGAACGCCAGGCAGTTCATATACATGTGCATATGTTCGTTGAAACCATCGACATTATTGATCCACTGTTCACACCAGAATAGGGTAATGCTGATATGACACGGATGTTCAGTGGGCTTTGGTCTCCTTAGTTCGCAAGTGCCAACCTTCTGGTTCGTACTGCAATATGCAGTGTGCCGTGACAGTGTATACTCGACCTTTGATACAAGGTGATGCAATATCCACGCCACAGGTGTTCTCAAGATGTCTTCAAGAGTTTCTCTGGTCTTCCGCATCCGCATAACTGTATCGTCTTTGGCTAGACTAACGAAACCGATACAGTTCCCTAGGTAGACAACTTTGTCTACTACATTAAATTCCTTGTTGGGCAGCCTCAGTTTTGGGTTTATCCTACCCAGTTATGTGAAAACACTTTACACCTTCTTAGCATAGAACTATCTACTTTATTTAATATTATTTTTATTTAGATAGGCCGTCTCGAAGAGACTGGGGCATGTATTGCGCATGTCGAATCATCGTTTGCCGAAGAGAGTGCTGTTTTCCGTGCCCGATTCAGAGTGGCGGAATTATGGGGCTGGCCGTCCCGACCTGGCAGAGGGGTATGAAAGTGATAACGAAACATCTGGGTCTTGTCGGTGCTACCTGTCTTCCAGGATAGAGACCGCGTGATCCCCAGTGTGCCTGGTTGGAGACTGCAGAGTATGGCTGCTAATCTATGTCAGTAGCGTTCTCGTTGTCAGTCTCTATCCGAATTGCCTGAATGAGTGTCTGGAGGTGTAGGCACCTCGGAACGATTGTGGTAAGGTAGCACTAAGTCCCTTCTCTGTCCACCTTCATTCTTTTCTTCACCACAAGGCTCTCAAATAAATCATGGTTGCTCGGCAGCGAAGCATAAGTGTTGAACGCGGATGTCATGCTGCCGATGATGATGACGAGACTGGACCTTACCGCGGTGTGACGGATTCTCTGCATCCGTTATCCGTTGAGCTATACTGGTTGGTGTCTCCGCGACACCCACAGAGTCTCTCACGCCAGGTTGGTCAATGGTTGAAGGTCCAACCAACACAATTCCCTGGCTTCCAAGGTTGGGTTTAGAACATGTTTGGCGACTTGTTTCATAATAATGGAAATGCACTTGCATCTTCCACTGAGCACTATTGTCTTGCGGTCAGGCTTTTGAACCAGTCTTTGGTAGAGGACCTCAACCGTCCTCCTTTTTGGGTTTGGGAGCTGTGGATGTATCCCATCCCATGTACAACCGTGACACTTACACTCTCATGCCACATCGGCTGTCTTGTGCTGTCACCAGCCGGGTCTGCTTACTTGCTGCATACAAAAGGGTGGGTAAGTAAGAACATGCTACTTCTGACGCCTGCCTCCTTACACTTTCACATTTACCCAAATTTGAATACTCTCTTCACAGATCCTAGCATTATGACTGACCGTTTTGTTCGCCGCTCATCACACAGCCGAAGCTCCTGTACGCCCGGCTGGAGTAATAACCCTAAACACTTCGAAGTCTGTTTTCAAATCCCGAAAGCCGGTGTACTTACTTGCCTTTAATGTTCGTATACTGATCCAAGCAAGGCAACAAACGGCTATCGCTCGTGGACTGGATTCATTCTGCATTGATATATGCAGGACGCAAGTATTGTGATTGAACTGGATGCCCTCTCGCTTTTTCCCAGCTTCCGGCTGTACACCTGTGGTGGTATATAAACCGCTGCATCTGAATATGCTGTAATGGGTATTGTATTAAGCGGTCGAGCACAAGCACCCCTACTTGATTGAATACCCCTTAATAGCCGCCTCTGCGCGTTTCTTTTGACAACGTCTGTGAGATAATCTAGAGAAAGTGAAGTCCATCATACCCTCTTTATTCTGTCTACTTACGCGCCAATTGAATCTGGATTTGAATCTGCCAAAGTGATGACGTAGGTACTCTTTTACAGCGGGCTACAAGCTCAGATGTCGTTGTGGATGATGGTGACATGAACGCTCATGTAGGTAGACTAAGCGATGTTGAGGCCGCATTGGATGGTCATCTTGGATTCGACACGAGACGAATAGACAACGGAGATCGCCCCCTTCAATTGTGTGCTTATCACAGACTGTTACTTTGCAGTACCAGAATATCAGAACCAGTTTCTCGAACGCCTGCAGGACGGTCCGATGCAGGATGTAAATGGATACTAGGAAAGGATATCATCCATAGAGCCACTCAGGGCCGGAACTTTGTTTTGCGGCACAACCCAGCTAACCTCATCCAAACATTGGGTCTCTGATAGGACCGTGTCTTTGCTGGAGGCCAGGCGACAGATTCCTCAAACATTGGGCCACAACTCCACCCGACGCATTATCCGACGCCAGGTGAAATTGCGTATCCATGCCGATTGAGCAGCTTGGTGGACCCGAAAGGCCGAAGAAGGGAAGGATGCAAAAAAATTCTGCTGTTCCACCTGATTCGTTCGACTGGTCCTCGGAATTTTGTTGTTAGGGAAATAATCAGGGACCGAAATGGCTTTCTGATATCCAGGAAAGAAAAACGTCTGGACCGTTGGGCACAGTACTTCAAGCAGCAGTTCAGTTGGCCATCTGCTGGCTCCTTTCCGGAATCCTTGCCTTCAACAGAAAGGTGGACTGTGAATATGGAGTTGCCTTCAACCTCAGAAGTGTCCGAGTGTATATCTTCACTCGGGCGTGAACGTGTTCCTGATCCTGACGATCTTTCGTTTGCTCTGTTCAAGGATGGCGGTGGACTCTTCAGTCAGTACCTTCATAGTCTGCGTATCTGAAAGAAATAGACCGTCCCACACAACGCGGTTGAATCAATAATAGTGTACATTTTCAAAAAGGTTGATCGCAATGAATGTGGCAACCACAGAGGTGTTTGTTAGTTTGACTCCTGTTTTGACAGGGCTTTTGCCGTCACTTGTTCTCTTCGTCTTACGGTGGCACGTGAAACCTTGACACGTGGGCATCAAGTGGGATTTTCACCGGGTAAAGACTGGGGTAACCAGATCTTCACACTCCGTCACGTGTTAGGGCAGCACCATATGTACAGACGACCCACAGTCTTGATACTCCTTGACTTCAAAGGTGCGTTCGATTATGTCGTCCGGCCAGTGCTGTTAATTGCACTTGCTCAATAGGATATGCCCCAAAAGTTGGTGAACGTAATCCGGTCCCTGTATGCACATCTGAGCGTGTGAGAGTGTATGAGGAGCTCTCCAAAAGCTTCCCTACAAAAATGGCGTCCGACAACTATGTTCACGCTCTCCATTCTTGTTCAGCTTCGTGGCCGACAAAATACTGAGGCAAAAACTGAAAGGCCTTCCAAATCCCGGTGCTCAAATTGTTTCTAGTGAGGTCGATCTGTACTACGAAAAGGACATCGTCCACATCTTGGAAGACTTAGGCGAAGCATGAGCCCTGTCAAATAGTGACATCAGCGTGTTAGTAACGAGGTGATTAGAAAACGGGTATTTGGTTGTTCTGCAGGCACCTCAGTCCGAGAAAACATCCAGCGTCATCGACTGTGATGGCTTGGTCATGTGCTATGCATGCCGAAGCACCGCTTACGGGGAGAATGTTGTCCTCTATGCCTCCTTCAGAATAGCGCAAACCGCGAGGTGGACAACGTGTGACTTAGCGGAAGGGTGTGAAGGAAATTACGAGCAGTTCGGGTGTTGTACGCCTTCCAGGATGGGGTCACCGTGAACCCACTCGTTCTTAGCTGGAGAAGTTGCCAGAAATAGCGGCTAATCGATGTCAATGGCGTTCGTGTCTGATTGAGCGCTTGGAGGTGTAGGTACCGCAGAGTTCTTGACATAGGCCAGCATCAGGTTTCCTCCCTCGCCCGCTCTTTTCCTCTTTTCACTGAAAGTTTTGATGTATATAACCAGATCAACGTTGTTTTTACTGCAGTTAAGCATCAGTGTCAACACTGATGCTGCTGTCTACGATGATGATTCAGACAGGGTCAAATCCGAAAAGAGCTGCATAGTTGGTGTACTCGATGTCTGTGAGCGATCTTGTTGGGAACAGTTTGATCTCATAGACACCTCAGGCTGGGGGCAAATTTCTCAGTTGTCAAGTTGAATGGAAGAGTAAACAGACTACGGCCTTATCTGATAGCACTGGATTTGCTTAAGACAAGGGCTACCACAGACCCTTGCGAGTCCATGGGAGTTGGCGTACATCCACCAATTTATAAAGTTCAGACACTGCTGTAGTTTCCAACAAGTCAAAAGTAACTTTCAAGTGAAGGAGGATAACAACGGTTTTCAAACAGATTCCACACATGGTGAATCTGTGGGCTCTCCTCTTCCGGTATACATTAAAAAGGCTTTCGGATCGCAATCATGAACAGTCAAACCGTAGTTTTGCTTTTAAATGTTTTCCTTAGAAGCCTTACAACCAAATACCGATTTATTTGTGATACGTTTTTTCCTATGACTACAGGCTACTATCTGGCCCCTATAGGCTTCAGAAGAACAAACCTACATACGTATAATATGATGCTTGGATAAGATAGAAGGTTGATGGAGACTCATTGACTGCACCTACCGGATGAGCTCAAAGAAGAACAAAACCGGTCGGTGGCTTTCGATGAGTTTTCATCAATCTTATGAATAGTATGTTTCGACAATGAAATACTGTGTTTCCGTTCACAGAATCTCTGAGGTCTTGAGGCACACAGCCGTCAATAGAGTCGTACACTCGGACAGCTGTCGGTGGTAGTTGGCGTCAGGGGATGAGGGTGAGGTAGGCAAAGTTATTTCTTCAACGTGGTTGGTTTTCAAGGTTCAGGGAACCTTGTTTGACCAGTAGACAACATAACTGTCGGAAGAAAAACCGGTAACTGAGGCTACTGGAGTAAATAACCCAAGTGAGAAGCCAGCCCTCTCTCCAACCTGTTCCTAGGTCTTCGGTAGCTGATACCGAATATAGAAGAAATCAGTTCCCACTAACAAAATAACTCATCCAGTACACGTAGCGTGAACAAAAAGACGCCTGGGAGGGACTCGAACCGCCAATCTCCCGCGTACTGAACGGAAGGCGCTTACACTGACACACTTCATCCGAACCTCACAGCTGATTCGCTACATCATTGCATTGGATAACAGTTGATATTTGTTAGTGCGAATAATGAACCTCTTGGATGCCTTCCATAACCAGCCGAACGTTGATATCATCTAGATACCTCAAGGACTTCTGTGCAATCGGTGAAATGACTACCTTTGAAGTTTTCACCTCTGCTAAATCTCAAGGTTGGAAAAATCTTGATTTTCCAGATTTTGTAACCTTACATCTCAAAGGTGTCGCTTTTCTCACACTGGACTTGTCCTCATCACCTACTTTGAGTGGTATTCCATGTTCAGTTGGAGTCGGTAGCGAAATCTTGCGTCATTAGATCGGAAGTGCCACAACGAAGCGTTACAGTCAAATCATTTCCCGGACCCATTTCGCTATCCTCAACAGCATCAAATCAGAAGTTATGGAATCCGTACGAGCCTGTGTACCATATTTCTGCGAGCACTTGCAATAAAACCGAATTAGGAATTAACGTTCAAAGGCATTGTGCAGCTATCAGGTAGTTGAAGTTGGGCGCCCGTATTCAGTGACAACTACAAAGTAACGAAATACCAGTACCAAATACCTTGTGACTGTCAACGTGTCCATCTCATTGCGTACGCCTAATTCCCCCGCCTTAGTCGCTGACTGAAGTTATGTGCCGTTAGCGCATCCACACCGTTTACTACCTTAACGGTTGCCGCAGTGTTAATGATAGACCTCTGAAGGGTGCGTTAAAAAGAGTCTGATGATGGTCGCTTAGTTGTCAGAATCAAGGTGCGTCGGGATTTGCGACGAAAATCATCCCAGCGGAAGCTTGTAGACCTGATATGACCAGGGGAGCTGTTTGCTGCGCGGCCATGCTTTGCTTGACATTCTTTATTCATTTGTACATTTTCGCCCTCCACACCAAATACGATAAAAACTGCCGGTTTTCAGTTTTCAGACGTTCAAGACAAAGAAGGTCCCTTTGTTATGGTTATTAGTTCACCGACGACACCTGAAATTCAAATGCTTCATTTCTATTGCTAATGGTCTTTTATTCGAACTATTTGATCGCACTGTCTGCTGTTCTACTGCTCTCCGGCTTTTTTTGCTCGCTCTCTTTGGTTATCGGTTTTCAATTGGTTCACTTTTCTCTTCTCAATTGACAGTGCCTCTGGGACGGTTTGGTTGGCCAGTGACAAGAAAACGTCACAGTGCGTAGCCATCAAGGTGATGAAGTTGGACAAGCAGCCAAACCGTGACCTTATCATATCAGAAATCGAGGTGATGAAGGAGTTGCGACATGAGAGCATTGTGAACTACCTGGAATCTCATTTGATTCGTTCTGCTAATGAGCTCTGGGTCACAATGGATTATCTGGATGGGGGACCGCTAACCGATGTGGTGATGGAAACGGTCATGGAAGTTCCGATAATAGCAGCAGTGACCAAAGAGTGTGTCAAAGCTTTGGCCTACCTTCACGAACGAAACATCATTCACAGGTAGGTTACGTGAATTGATTCGTCAGACTGACTGGTGCTAAAGCAATCAAAACACTTCTTTTCACATATAAATCAACTACTTCCCTATCTCACCGAGTCGAAAAAGATTCTTATCTCATGGTCTATATCACCATGCTTTCTCAAACGGGATTGTACTGATTCTTAGGTCACCTAAACAACAGGGCCAAGTATCGCACATGTCCCATTGCCAATTCATGTTAGTGTTTGTTCCACAAATACACATGATCGACCGAGTAATTTCCATAGGTCATCTCCGAATTGAATTCGAAGGATGAAAGAGTTTAGGCACCTTGAGTTCTTTGCTAACTAATCTCCTCCATCCTAGTATGTCATCCGTGATGGCAACCCTTTTTCGATTCGTTAGTCCTGAACTTGTCAGTGGTGATTTATTGCCTCGGATACTGCCAAAATCCATTTAGCTCAACCACAGTTCTACCCCCGTCACGCAGAGCCTGGACCTTACCATGATGTGACGGTTTCTGTGCATCCGGGATCCGCCCGACACTCAAATAACCTCTCAGTTGTTAGATGTCTGACCAACACAGTCTCATGGTTCTCAAGGTTGGGCTTAGAACATGTATGGCGATTTGTTCCTTAAAAGTGGTAATGCACCTGCATTTCCCACCGACCACAGTTGTCTTACGGCCAATCTTTTGATTCAAAGGCTTTGGTTGAGAACCCTAACCACCCTCCTCTCTAGTACTGGGTGCTCTGTCATCCCAGCTCGCGTTCAACCATGGTACTTACAACTAACAGTACTTTCATGGTACATCGGCCGTCGCGTGGGGCCGGGTTGCCTTACTTGCTGCATACAACAGGGCGGATAAGTGAAAACATGCTACTTCTGACACCTCTCTTCTTACACTTTCACGTTTTCCCTCTTTCACTCAACCCCACACAAAGTAGAGTGCTGCGATGATCCGGGTGGGTACACCGGTTTGAACTCTGTTCCACAAGATGTGACCATGCCAGGATGGCTAAAGGAAATCGGTCAGACCAAGAGCAGCGAGACGTCGTTCTACAAGTAATCGTGCTACGAGGTGGTCTACAGAAGAGATCCTCTATGATAAGAGTGTAAAGGCAGTAAAGCTTTTCTCCAGGTGACCAACATGTCTATATTCATGAAAGCAGCGATGCTGCTGGTCTGTTGGAAGATCTGGTCACTAACTGATTAGATGTTCGTACCGCCTTCTGTTTGACGCGCAGAAATGAACGTGAATTCGAGCCAGTTAAAACGTTTTTGTTCAGTTCTTCTCCTAAGAGAAAGGTACCTCCCAACGGTGGATACTGAAATCGACCATTTACCGCTGTTTGTCTTGGGATTTGAAGATTTCAGTCTGGTTACTACCTTTCCAATCCACAACTTAAGTTATCACTGGTCAGTGAACACTGGACCTTCCACTCGTACTTTTTGGCGATATCTTATCGTCTTAGACTGTATCTTTCCTTTTGTACCTGATTTTTGATGTGTACCGGAGTGCACCAATATGATACTAGTGTCAATCTGTCCGTCTGCCACCTTACGCACACATGGGCGTACTACAGGTTCACATCTTACCAGCTTCCATTGTTTTTGCTTCCGTATGGGTTTTATGTTAATGTGCGCCGGTTTAGAATGGGTTTACTTTTCTGCCCAAGTGTTTTTTCACTGCTGTTGGGGTAAATCGAAGGCCACGCGGCCGATTTTGACTGCGAACTGATTGATCGTACTTTTCCATGCTAGAGACTACTACTTGCTACTTACCGGGTTGAATTCTGTGCGTTGTCGAAAGCCTGATGTCGGTTTTCTTTCCCCCTATACCTAACATAGGCATGATAGACCTCGATGATTGCGTTAGCCCGCACTCTCGTACAAGGGTGCAACTGCTTCTCAGCTGAACCGGCGTTATTGAATGAACTGGAAACCTTCACTGGTCTAAATTATGTGCTTGGATTTTCCTGCCAGCACCACTCCACTAGAATTTTGGGGGAAGGTGCACTAGGGTGCATACATTCGGGTGCAAAGGTCGATACTGATTGTTCAGGAGATAACTTCCTTTTGATGGTACCACGTGACCTAAATCGCACACGAATGAATGCATTCATGGTAAACAAATCTGAGATATAGGAAGTCCATTTTTAATGATAGTGAGTGATGGAGCGAAGTACTCTGTTTTACCGTACCTAGTATCTTTTAACGAAAAGGAACGTTGCTCTAAACACGAACTCTTGTTCTTCTTCGATAACTCACCAGATAGATCAGAAACTTAGCTTAGCACTACCATGGAGCTGTTCGGAGCTGATCAGGCCTGATTGATCCACGGGAGTTATCCAAGTTCTGTTTCTAAAACGGTTACAATGCACCCCCTCATACTAGGTTTTCTAGTTTACCAATATCGGAATTAGCTCTGAATTATATACAGAGTTAGTTAGGGGAAATACTTCCGACCCTTCGTCGTATTCGGGAGAAAACCAATAAACTTGGATCTACATTTCAAACACATGCGTTCCCCAACCCCGTGATGTTTACTGATAGTCTGTCGGGGCTTATTTGGAATGCGTTTATTTGACCCTATCAGTTTGTTTTCAGGCCATTTACTCTTATATATCTTATTTCCACACCCTACTTCTCCATCTTATAGGGATATCAAGTCCGATAACGTTATTTTGGGTATGAAGGGACAAGTGAAACTGACCGATTTTGGCTTCTGTGCTCAGCTAAGCGATCGCCAGAGTACACGAAACACCATGGTTGGCACACCGTATTGGATGGCCCCTGAAGTGGTGAACAAAACGGTACAGTATGGATCAAAAATCGATATATGGTCATTGGGAATCATGGTCATCGAAATGCTGGACGGCGAACCTCCCTACATGAATGAGCAGCCCCTCAAGGTAAGAGAGCTCCCGTGTGTAGTTGTACAATCCGTGTCACTCTTAGTCTGTGGTGCACCAAAATCCTCTATTTACCGAGAGAAACAGCATTCCTTGGATGATCTTGAGGTATAACTGACTAAAGCCGATTGTGTCGGAGGTGCAGAATCTGTGTAAAATATCCAAACTCAGCACTTGACAGAGAAATATAGTGCGCACAGTGTGTAATTAGAGTATGTAGTATACTGATAGCACCAACCAACCACTCGAGCTGTGGTTGCCTTAAAAAGGTTTTCCCGTTTGTCAAGGAATGGAAACCGGTTATTCTATACGATTCATTGCAGATTTATGGCACCAAAAAACAGTGTATATCTTATGCAAGTGGACGACATTTTTCCCATTCGAATGCACCACATCGGTTCACGCTGTATGGAGGAATAAATGGCTTTGTCTTTTCGGAGTACTGTCAATCAACTTTTCGCTAAGTAATAGTGCCTCTTAGCAGTTGGCTAATAAACAGACTTGTCCTAGGAGTTGATGTGATGCTTCTCAGCTACTGTAGCCCTCACTTCCAAGTCTACACTTTTCAACAGTGGACCACGCTCAAATCCATTGATTTTCATTTTTATGTAAAATAGCAATAGACAGACTACAAGGCGAGTGGGTCCAAGGAGCATCGTCATGTGTCCTTCGAATTTTGAAATTACCTTCACCTTATGCTCAAGCGAAGTGTATCCACCGGAAGTCCCAGATTCTGTTTGCACTAACCACCAGCGTCGCGTAGTCTCAGCGTGGGTGTATATCCCCCAACTGATACCCATTCAAGGGATGAAAATGTGTTGTTCGGTTTAACCTTGGAGTATTTTCGGGCGGATTCGTTTCACTTGTATACACTGTAGATCACCCGTAACGCTTGACTGACAACGTATCCGGTACGCAACAGCCTGGCTTTCTCGACTGTAACCTGCTAGTTCGCCTGCAGCGAATTCTCCGGGCGACCTGGTGGTTGAATTATTGATTATTTATCTCCATACAAGCTGCTTCCCAAATAGCTTCGTTTACCACAACACTGAATTCACACGAGCTTTTTAATTCAGTGGCTGTGATTCAAAGATGCCTTGCATAATTACATGTGGAGTCATCGTGGGACGCGTTCTTCATTTTCGTTAGAAACAATAGGAGGGAGTTTATATCCACACCACCCCATCGAAAGCTTCACAGTTCTCGAATTAAACGAGCACGTGTTACATAATCGAGCTGTTTCGCTCGAACAGCGAAATCCTTTGCGGCATCCAGCATCGATCCAGAGCGATTGCTTTCTACCGTTCCCTCAGCGTGTGCTTCAGAGAGGGCTAATCTTTTCTTCCAATTCCTTAATCCTCAGGATTTTTTGTGATAACAATTGCTGTGTGAATAAAAATTCGCAAACTGATGGCAACTTTACTGAGAGAAACTGTTCTACGTTATGAAGAAAAACTAGGTTAACTAGAACTGCAATGGCCGGAATGTGGCTAGGAGATGGAACATCACCGATTTGCATAGTTACTAAGCAAAAATATTCATGTCATAAATATATTCTATTCACCTAGTTAGCCAGAAGGGACGCAACTTTCTATCTTATCACAGTTGTGATTACTAAGGGTGAACGCCGCTGTGCCTCATCTTAGCATTGCTCAAGATTTTCCAGCGGTTCATGTCATTTTTTCATCGTGTGAAAAATCAGGCTTCCATGTTTGTTAAATTTACTCTGCCTGTCTTATGGAATAACTGTGGAATCAGTCACAAAACTAACTCCTCAGTCAGCAGGATGGTTGTTTTGTTAGGCAAAATATGGTCTTTTTCAATACACCCCACGTTTTTCTACTTTTTTCATGTTTCAGCCTTGATATCAGCTGTTTTCTCGACCACTTCTGTTTCTATTTTAATTTGCTACAGAATGGCTATCGAAATGTCATTAAGACCAGTTCGACTGGTGGGAAAGTCACAATTGAGGAACTATATCTTAAATAGTTAGAATATCGTAATATTCTTCCTTAAAGTACGCAATCCGTCGTCGCGAAAAGTCCTCGATCAAATATCCTGTGGTTTTGTGAATATTTTATAATACTGAAGGACAACATGCAGGCCCACCATTATTAACCAAAGTCGAATTCGGTTCTTTTCTCCATTCCAAATTCAAATTGTTCACTATCCTAGCCATTTTATACCATTGTTCAGTAATTCCCTGTATGAATCGCTATCTTCTTGATCCCACTTTGCTGCGCACCGCGTCTGCGCGTTTTTATTTCAGGTACAGATGTACTAATTCATAATTTCTCTCAAAGACTCAGCTGATCCTAATCGGAGCAACAACCGCTTCTCGGCGGGACCATCAATGATGGTGGACTAGTCTCACGGACGCAAACTAGCCCAGATGCTGAGTCGTCGCATCGTATTAAATCTGCCGCTGATTGTGTGTCAGGGTCACTTATGGATCATTCAGTTTGACGTTTCCAGGTGAATTGGCCAAGGACCGTTCATCGTAGACCAACATTTCATGTGGAGTAATCGATGCTAGGGGCTATATTTAATTTGTCACAAATCAGTCACTTCTCTCAATAGAAATTGCGGCCAGTGTATTCTTTCTATATAGGTCAAGCGAAATGATTGCTTTCACGAACCCAATAATAATAATAATCAAACTGGAAATCTAAGATTCTTCCAGCTACTGCTGTAGATTTTTTGCACAGGCATTATTCAGCTTGTTTGGCTGAACAAGTGATCTACAACTAAGCCATGAGGAGTTATGTACTTGTCTTAGAATCATCCATTTCAGTTGCGCGAAATAACCGTGACGATATTCGGTTGCAAATGCTTCGATAACTGTATGTATCGAAATATACTTTCACAATAATGCTCAATCTTCGCTCGTCTTGATAGTGAAATAACTTCAGACGTATGGAGTCAAAGGACTATCTTGCGTTGCGTCGTATCTAAACAAGGAACAAACAAAACGCTCAACGGCTTTTATTGGTACATGTACAGTCACCGGTGGGATAGTGTAGCCCAGGAACCACTTATGCGGGTTCGCAGCTACGATGAAGGTTAAATCCACATACTCAGTTGTTTTTCGTGAATACCATACCCAATACTATGCCGCTCCATAATCTTTTTATTGTAGGCGATTATGCTGATCCAGTCAAATGGCAAACCAACTCCAAAGACGAAGGTTCAAGATGCCGATTTGATTAGGTTCTTGGATCGCTGTTTACAGGTCAATCCAGATAAACGATCCAGTGCTAAAGATCTTCTTTCCCATCGTTTCCTTCAAAATCCTGGTCCACTTTCTGCTCTGAAACCACTTATTGAAGCTGCACGCACTTCACTGCGCAAGTAATAACCTCATGGGGGACTTTGAGACACCCGTCACAGTGCCTTTTTCCAGCCGGAATCCACCAGATATGCCCTCCAGTATTCTCGAGTCGCTTTGAGTAAAACTCCAATCTTGAGTTTTTGAGTGTGATGACTGTCTGGCAGTGTCCATGGCATATTCCTGCCTCAGTCAACTGTAAGTCCCTCCCATTGTGCAATTTTTGCAAACACCACCTACACTTCTTTTAGATCTATGTTCCTTACGGTTCTCGCGCCGTTTTCCTTGCTCTCACCGCCAGGTTTTTTATCATGACTTCTATTTTACTCGAACCTAACTTGCTCACCATGTTCTTTTACTGTTCCCCTCCGTCCCTCCCCCCCCCGTCTATCGCCACCCACCAAATGTTGCTTTGTATTACTAATCATGCTGTCTCTGTCTTACACTGCTCCCACCTATTTCCTTCCTGCCTTTCCATCCTTTCCTGCCTTCCTGTACCCTCTCTTCGATCGTTGCCGTCAAGGCTGTGAAATGTCTTTCGATGTTTCAAAACTAACGACTGCTCACAGTAGCCGATGGCTGTATTTTATTGTCGTTTATGTACTCGGGGTGATACTCATTTTTCCTTCATGGAACGCTTCCGGTTAGTCTGATAGAGGTAGGAACTCAGATCATTCAATGTTTCAACATTCTTCAGAAGATATCACGCTACTTTGGGCTCAATTGAGGCAGTGTCTGTGCAGGATTCAACGCGCCATCTGTAGGCGCATGAACAACTTGACTAGGAGCCCAAAGTGGGCTGGCGTGATCCAAATGCAATATTGAAGGAGCTTAATGGTTCTTCTCCTGGTTACTATCGCAATGAGCGCTACGGAGCTACATCTGTAACTGTGCTCTATGTGCGTGTTGATAGTTTGAGCTCAACTGCAGTGCTGGAGTGTCACTCCTCAGCATAAAGAGGTGGATGATCAGCGTGGTAGTTACTGCTCCGATGATGGTCTAGACTAGGCTTTCAAAAGCTTTTGAGTGCCGTTCCTGTTCTCGATAAATGGGCCGGAATGCGGTTAAGGCTGTCGCCGAATGAGACGAGATGGTTCAGTGGTTAGAGCGCGAATTTACTGACCCCAAGGCCTGTGGTTCGATCCCGACCTCTGTATCTCGACTTCCCCTATCTGGGCTTGAGCAACCTGATAGTATCCCAGGCCTTGTGCTTCGTACGGTTGGCATGGCAGTTAGGCACTGAACGATTATTTTATTTTGAATGGGACGTATGTACAGAATCTGAAACTGGGTACCATTAGAACTCAGCATATCCGGAGGATTGCCTTGTCGTGCGGCTGACGTAGCTCATCAGAGGAACGCAGTAATAGACTTAGATGGCGACCACAAAATCCGGTTTTTCATTATTGTGCTTGATAACAACCCAGTATAAACTGTTAACCGGTAGCCCCTGCAAGAAAGTTCATAGACTTTACGAATGAGTGACAGGCTACGGTTCACACTACAAGACTTGGGCTCAACGTTATTGTGAGATCAAAAAACAGACAGACTACTGCTGCCGATGCATTATCCTCATGTTGATTTTTCGAAACGGTACATTACAAAATAGTTCTGGTCTACCTCGATTGCTTTTGTGTTCCTTTTCATATACAGTGAGGATTCCATTCAACTAGTCATGTTTGAGTAGTTACAATATTCTGCCTCACTAAAGGTTCATCTTCGATGAAATTGAGGTTTTAGGATTGTTTTGAGACAGTATCTCTGAAGAATGCGGGTTGAATTCATTTACATGCTTACTGGACGGAATCGGAATAAGCAAGCTTTAAGTGCGTATACATTATACACTGTTTATTCATTTTCGGCGAACACAAGACCACGCAGAGGAAAGTAGCACCTGAGGAAATCTGTTTCCTTCATTTGCAGAAATCTCTAAGGGTCACTTCTGGTGTTCCTTAAATTGGATCAGCTTACGAGCATCTGATTCCAGCCGTAATAAAAACCCAGACGCAGATAATATAAATATCACCAACTGTTTAACAACAACGGATGTGAGCGAGTTTCTCCTGGATTGGCCGAGACAGCTGATTCTGCTTTCTCCCACTGGCGATGCATCTGAGTTCAACATCTTCAGATAATTGAAAATCCGAATGTCATCACGTGGCTAGACCACAGTCAAGATTATATTCGAAACGCAACGACAGGTTGACTTTCAGCAACCTATGTCACCGGTATGCTCAGTCTAAAGGTTTGATTAGTCATCGTCGGCGTGGGTGGCTGGGTCATGTGCCAGGGACGATACCTCAGCAAGCGCTACACTGCGTATCCCCACTGCACTCGGGTCCGAATTCATAAGAACTACGAATAACCCGACGAAGGAAATGTTGAGGAGCATGAAAACTGTCACCCGGCCTCTGGCGCCCTTAGGCCTTTCGAGAGATAAAGAAGGTATGTCGTTAGAGACCTTAGCGCGTACGGTGTCCTCCTTAGTTCTATACTCTTTTATAATCTCATTGCAAGGTGCAATTATCTTTCTGGATCGTTTCGTTACACTGAGACTCCATATGATTATGTTCCCTGATACTACGCGTATGAATCATGCTTGCCATATATAAATAAATAAATAAA